AAATAAATAAGATGGAAGGGGGAAAGAGTTTACAGATGATGAGAAGGGGTGAAGGAGAGAAGCGGGATGCTAATAATTAATTTTTTTCTTTTGGTATGATTGTTGTTCATACTTAACCTTGAATAAAAAAAATGATTGTGTCCAAAATTTGTAAGTGGTCCTCTCCCCACCTACAATAAGTCTAATAAAATATTAAAGTATTGATGTTAAAGATTAACGTTAACAAGGCGTGAAAAGGAAAAGAAGAGAAGCCCAACAACAAATTCTTATTCAGGATAAAAGTTATCTTAAAGGGACTATAAAGAAAAATGAAAGGGGGGTATAGGATGAAACCTGAGAGTTTCAGGAGTTGAACGATACCTATAAGACATCTATCTGATGTTCCTGTCTTAAAACTGAGTCAATTATATACCGAAACGTATATATGTAAGATATATGTCCGTATCACGTGACCAGAACTCCCTCCAATGGCAGTGCAGTATACTGGTCACGTGATACAGACGGAGACATGTGACAATAATACTGCACTGCCATTGGTTGGAATTCTGGTGACATGTTCCGGACGCATAAATAATATTATCAATTATATCTATTAAAAATGAAAAATTATTAAATACAAATAATAATAGGAGCAAACTTGAGTTTCTCAGGCTCCTCTGGGATATCGTTGTTTTCAGATTGGTTGCGTATTTGCTGAATATGACCTGTTTAATACTAAGAATCTCATACAAAATCTTACATATATACGTTTTGGTATAATTTTGAAACAGTTTTATATCAATTTCTCGAGACAGGAACATTAGATAGAACTCTTACAGGTCTCGATCAACTCCTGAAATGCTCAAGTTTCAACCTATACCCCCTTTCATTTTTCCTGTACAGTCCCTTTACGTGAATAAAAAAACACATTGATTTTCAGTATAAAGAATATCAATATTTCCAAATATGGTTGGAATCTTTTAACAAATATTGCTCTCACGTCAAATATATAGATTTCAGAATTTTAAAAATCTCTTTTTTTAAATATCAATTTATTAGGAAATATTACAAATATGATATTTTACGATCCATAGAAAAATTGCTGTTCTGATAAACCCAATATTTTAACATAGATAGATAGGAATATTGCTCTTCTACCAATATCAATATAAAAAGGATATGGAAATATTCAATATTGCTCTTCTAACAAATATTATTATTATCATCATTATTATTTATTATTATAATTATCAATATTTCAGGATATGGAAATATTCAGTATTGCCTATCTAACAAATAATACTATTATTATTTTCATTATTTTTATCTACTATTATAATATAATCAATAATTCAGGATATGGAAATAATCAGTATTGCCCAAGGTTGTAATGCAAGGAAAGTTAATTGCTGTCGCGTATACTCTGCGTACATATTGAAACCAGTTCTATCTGGGCGGAAATTGTAAACAAGAATAGATGCATCAGTGATCGTTTAGTATTCAAGGAGGTTAAAAGCATTAAATTTTGATAATTTTGATGATTCACATATGGTTTCCTATTCCTATGACCAGAACATTTCATTGATTTTTTTATGTGAAAGATGGATCTCATGTCAGGCTTCGACATCCGTCTTGTGTTTACATTAGCGCCCGGAGACAGTACACTGCACTACAAAAGATGTGTACACTTCTGAAATAACTTTCCTTGCATTACATCCTTGGTATTGCCCATTTAACAAATATTACTATTATTATTATTATTATTATTAAAATTATCAATATTTCAGGATATGGAAATATTGCTCCAGTCACATTTCCGGGAAGGATTTTCTGCATTATTTTTGCAATAGGTAGACTTGATCTTTATATTTGCAATAGGTAGACTTGATCTTTATATTGCAATAGGTAGACTTGATCTTTATATTGCAATAGGTAGACTTGATCTTTATATTTCCAATACATGCGATAAATTAGCAAAAAATTGCAACAAATATTATATTTCTCCCTACGAATAGAATGCGAAAAAATGCGAAATTTTTTTTTCGCCAAACGTATTCACCATTTCGATATAAATCCTGATGCATCCTTTATTTATATTATTTCAGTCGGAATACCCTTTACCCTTAGTGTTATAGCTGATACACCCTTTATTTATATTATTTCAGTTGGAATACCCTTTACCCTTAGTGTTATAGCTGATGTTGGAGCATTGTTTGCAACCCTACTCAGGAAAATATTCTTGATTAAATAAAATATATTTTTTAACTTTTACAAAAATATATAATAAATTTAATTTTCATTTTTTATAATAATTTTTTTGCTACTTTGTAAATTTATTATGTTACATATAAGAATTTTAAAACATTGTTTTGCTTTTTTTAATAGCTCTTGATCAGAGAAGTAGTGTAAGATTTCAGTTTAAAGTTAAATTTACTTTATGTTGACGTGAACTTTGCAATATCTCTTATTCTCTGCAAACCCTTTAAGTAAAATTAAAGGTTTCTGCTTAAAATTGTAGAACAAATGTATATCTCCCATTAAATAAACTATCCAAGATCCTTGACCATTTATTTTCATATCTAACCATTTATTGGCCGGATGAGAATAGATGTAATAAAACGGAAATGAAAAATTGATTACCGTGATAAATTTGTGATTTTTAGTTGTAAAAAAGAAAGAATTATTTTTAGATTTCTATAAAAATATTTGAATCAGAACCCAGCTTTATAAAAACCACAATCTATTCGAATTTAGGAATTTAAAATTTGATATTTTTTACATTTTAATATTATGTAAAAAGTAATAGATATTATGCACTCAATTTAAGTTAATCTTTAACAAACTGGTAAAATTACTTGCTTTTTAACAACATAACATTGCATAAGATTCCTGTAATGTTGTCTTTAATCAATGTTTACTAATAAAGAATATAACTTAGTACTGTTTGGGAGAAATATAAGGATAAGATTCAACCAATACTGGATAAGTTTATGAAAGAAAAAGAAGAGTAAGTATCTTATATTGTACTTTATAGAGAATAGTAAAAAATGTAAACGTCATATAGGGTTATTCACAAAGAATGAGAAGCTGTAAAGACGACCTGCAACTCTTTAAATATGACAACTTTAAGGTTAAATTAAATTTATTGCCTTTAGTATTGTCTTCAAATAGCTTATTTAAAGGGAGTGATCGGCAATGTATGTTAGTTCAACTGAGAATGTAGCATTGTGGATAAATTATTCTAGAATTCATTTGAGACATGTGAAACGTTTTAATTATGTATAATTACTGAGTTAGAGCGCAAAGTCGACGTTCAAAATCATCCATTTGGGTAGTTACGTTAAATTATTAAATAACGACGACAAAAAAATGAAAAAAAATTGTACTGTAAACCAATTAGTAAGATGTTTAGGAACATATTTCTCATTATAAATTTGTCAATAAATCAATGTTAGAATCAATTGTTTCTTTTTAATCATTATATTGATTTTCTTATTCTTTATGAATAATTGTTCGCAGATTTCTTCGATCCTTCAGATGTCGTCTTTTCATGAAAAAAATCCAGGAGATCTATATGGTTTTGAACATTGAGACATTTCAGAAACCAATAAATTGTTTGTTACATTTTTTTGTGGTCGTTATCAAATAATTTAAATAAAACCGATTCTCAAAATCATCCCTTCAAATTTGATTATCAATAGAAATTTTCAAGATTGAATTTGCGCTCTTGCTGAACAACGATTCACCGTAAAAACGTCTGATAGGTCTCAAATGAATCCTGAAAAATTTCTCAATAATATGGCAATCTCGGTACATTGCCAATTACTCCCTTTAATAATTAAACAAGCAAAAAATATGCTAACATTTGCAGAGGTTTAATTTAGAATCATGAATATAAGGAAACAGACATTATAGATTACATAAAGTCGTTTCTGAAGTCTCATCCTTTGTAGGTAACCCTGTTTGATTCCACGCATATTAAAGCCAAATGAAATTTTAAAGATTTGGGTTTTTCTAATATAATCCTTATTTTTTTTTGAATAGTCATAAATTTCCATAAAATTATTCTAAAGCATTGTTTGTAAACACAGTATAAAGAAAATCGGTTTCTAATTGAATTTTTAATTTTCAATTATTAGCAATTTCATTGTTTTCAATATAATATCTAAATTATAATTATCTCCTGCTTAATTTTAAAGTTTTTCCCTCCCACCTCTTCAGTAATTATTATAAAAATTTTCAGTTTATAGATTTTCAGTTTGGACGTGGTTTATGATGTAAAATTAGCTGTAGGCTCTTGCAAATTTTGACCGTTTTTTTATTCAATATAAAGCAGAACATATTTAAACCTCGTGCCTCTCAAACAAATTTTATAAACTTTAAGTCGAAAATTTGCCATCAATAGCAAAGTTTGGCAGTTTACTATATTGAATTCAAAATGGATTTTGAAAAGAAACTGTTCACGGTATTTCAGTGATTCCCCTTTTTGAGAATAGCATCATCATTAACTGGTAAACAAACTCTTATAAAAAACCGATAATGGAGATATCTTCAGGCACTTATATCGTGAACTTTTAAAAGTGCGGTATTGCGTGGAGTGTCCCTTTAGATTGCTTTTATAAATTATTCTAAAGTTTATCATCCATGGTATTTTACGGAGCTATAACTTGCTTTATTCATAACTATTACTTAGGGTTTCATTTTCTTCACTTCTAAAAATAAATGAAGCATTGTAATATTAATTTGTTAATTCTAATGCAAAATTTTAATATAGATACCTATATATAAACATGGTTTACAATTTATTAAATTTTTGGTCCAAAACCTGGCCCCCTTGAAATAGCATTCACTGTTCAAAGGTATCATGAAGTTTTACTATTGCGTCCGACAAGATTTTGTAATTTTACGCAAAGGTTTCAAAAGAAGATTTTTGAAAAATAATCTTCTTGGCATTAAATAGCATTATTTTTTCAATTTTGTATTTTTAAATACATTTATGTTTAAATTATTCTGAATCTTAATCAAATTTAGAACTGCTTAAGGTTGTGCATTTTAATTCTAATTTGATTTAGACACCTATCCGGCCGCCTAAAGTAATCTGAAATGGATAAAGTATGTATAAAGCAAAAATGTAAAGTTGATATTTTCATGAAAACATATACCGATGCTTAAGTCAACAGCTAAATCTATATATAAATTTGGCTTGTTTGTCTGTCTGTTTGTCTGTTTGTTTGTATCCAATAAACGTCAAAACGGCTGAACCGATCGGGCCCAAATTTTTTGTGGGACATCTAGGGACTCCAGGGAAGGTTTATGAATCATCAAAATTTTAAATATTTGTCTCCATCAAAATTCGATCGTCATTAAATTTTTAAAAATTTTGAAAATCCGCGAAATTTTTTGTGAAAATCCGCGAATTATTTTTGTTTTGTTTTACGATGTACACAAAGAGAACATGTTCACAACTAATTTAGAAGATGGGCGCGCAGCGCCCTCTAAGGCTAGAAAGAAGGGCGCGAAGCGCCTTGAATTTCTAGTCTATATATAAATTTGGCGTGTATATATATATATTTTTTTGTACTGCTTTTTCATTATCAAAAATGCTCTGCAAATAATTACGAGATTGCAAGTAATTGAAATAATAAAGAAAAATTGTCCCAAAATGTTGGCTGTCACCTAGAAAATTACAAGTTTTACAAACGTTATTTATAAAAAAGTCCAAGAATTTTGCAGATTCTTGGGTTAACATTATTTCTCTAAGTAATGGTGACAATGCATTAGAGACATTTCCATAAACTCATTTACAATTTTTTTAAATTCTGTTTTGGTCACTTTATCCACTCAAAAATGAGGAAAATTTAGAGGGGGGATTTTTTGTAAATCCTATAGAAAAAATTGTTTGTTATAAACATGGTTTAAATATGTAAATTGTATATTAAATAACCAAATATTTTATTAACGTTTTTTTTCACAAAAACTTGTATATGGTCTCTGAATTTCAATTCAATTACTACAGGGTTAACTTTACTTACAGCCGTTGCCAGGATCAATCGGCCACTTTTAGTCGGCTGCTTTAAATTCTGATCTTAATTGAAATATTTTTAATACAGAGGGTCCCTGATCATATTACATTCTCTCCAAACACAACATATGAAAAAGCTCTTTATTTTCTACCACAAACATTATATAATATGTTCTACATTCTCTACCTGATGTCCTAAAAATCCAGAGTGTTATGTGATACAAACTGTAAACGTGAAGGGTCTTAGGTATTTTCCCAAAGGCATCTTTCGCAGGGCGACTTCGCAAGTGACAATTTTCCAAGTGGCAACTTCCCAAATTTGCTATTTTTCAAGTGGCAACTTCCCAACGTTTAAATTAGGCCTGCAGTTTGGGGCCGAATGCTGAGGCTAGGATTGGCTAGGGGGCCGAGCGCAGCGGCTAGAACAGGTTAGGAGCCGAGCGCTGCGGCTAGGGCAGACTTAGGAAGTTGCCGCTTGGGAAATTGCACTTTTGGGAAGTGGCCACTTGGCAAAATACCCTTGTGAAGTTGCAGTTTGTGATAATGTCTTTGGAAAAAGTACATTACATTGCTGAAAGATCTGAGTGATTTCTTCAATTCCTTTGTTTTCTCCAAGTGATGATGAGATGGGTATGGGTGGGAATATGTACACGGCAGTACTAGCACTCGTCTTCCTCTTTATCTTCCTCTCATTTGGTGCCTTTCTCTTCACACTCTGGGAGGTCAGTTATGCAACCTTTTTCAGGGGTATACAGAGCGTCCCATATCATATTAGATTATCTCTAATCTTTAACGCCAAAATACGCACATAAGTAAATACTCGAAAAATCTAGCATTTACTTCGAAAAAAAAAATTCTATTAGCCTTATTAAATTTTTCAAAATGATTGATTCTTCTTAAATTTTCTGATTTGTCCCCCAAATCGTAATTTAGACCCATTGACGCGGTCTAATTTGATGTGGGACACCCTGTATATTTCGGGGATATATGGGGTTCCCAACAATAGATGGACTTCAGGGACGACTGAACGGAATTAATACTGTCCATTTCCTTATATTCATGGTTTCTTGCCACTATAAACTTGTTTTTTCTTTGATAAATCATTAAATATCCCATTGAACGGCTATATTGAAGATAGGTGACTTAATTTAATCTTTTCATCGTAATATTTTAAGAATTTTAAGTCGTCTTTACAGTCTCATCCTTTGTAGGTAACCCTGTATATATTTTTTTCAAAATTTTTGCCCTTTTGCCTTGGCCCCAACGTGATTTTAACGTGATTTTTATCACACTGTAAAAAACAATGCTCTTTTATTTAGGACTGGTCATTCTTTGATGCTTTTTATTTTTGTTTCATTACAATGACAACAATTGGGTTTGGAGACATTGTCCCAGGTAAACTTTAAATTTAAAATATGGAAGACTGATCTAGTTTGATTGTTGGTGTTGTTTGATAACTGTTTGTTGATGTAGAACTTTCGCCTGTACAGTTCCCCTGCCCCTTAACACTAGTTGTAAACAAAAATGTTCACAAAATCTAGATTTTTAATATTATTTTTTTCCTTTACCTGATTCCTAAGCACGTTTAATGAAATTACATGCAAGAAAAGATACAAATGTAAATATTAAAAAATATCGTCTTTGCTTAAAATACAAAATGGCGGGAAAATAAGTCGGCCATTTTGCTTATACCGTTATCTCCGCCCCTTATCCCCGCAGTCCCTCTGCATGAGTTATGTTGAAACCAATGTTGAAATTTAATTAAATCCTTAATATTTTTAGACATTAAAATTGGCGGTAAGTTTGTTTTTATAATTTTTCTTTCTATCTCAATTTAGGAGCAAAGTGCTGCCCCAAACTCTTTTTATTCCTCGATTTTATAGTCTGCATGATTTTTACTCAAATAAATAGGAATTTTTCTGCGTTTTTTTCTTTCTAGAATTTAACATTTGTTCTGAAAAATCATGTTCTTGATAGTGTTTAAATTTGATACGGTAAGAACCAGAATCATTAATTAAGTTAAATGGGTCTGTTTTTTCTGTCTCATGTTCATTTGACTAAAGTCATAACTTGAGTCTAAAAGTCGTTTTCTTGTTCCAAAGTTTTCTGGCTCTCGTTGTACCTTCAAAGTAAATTTTGCATGTTTATTAGGATTTAAAACTTTTTATGCATTTTAAATTTTGCTAATGCACAATTGCATGTTTTTCTTTCATTAAAAATTGTAAAAAATTACATTAGAATTAATTCTAATCAGTAAAAAAATGTAGATAATTCAAAATATCAATTATTATTCCTTAAATCGTTAAATCTCTTGGAAAAGAAGCCCATGAGATGAACTATTAAAATTATTTGGTTGTTTTAATATGAGAAAAGTTTCAATTTGTTTGAATTTTTTTATGTAAATGCAGTTTTCTGCATTCTGTGTTCTTGAAGACAGTTGTCAGTACCATGCATCACTTAAACTTAAAGGGACTGTAAACAAACAAACAAAAAAGAATGTTTTTAGTTTGAAAATTTCTTGTTCAGTAGTATCTTTTATAAGTTCAGAGATTACTTAGATACCTATAAATGCATACTAAAGCATTTCGTAATTATTCTTTTTTAAGTAGAAATCCACGATTATTTTTGATTGTTTAAATTATGGATTATTATTGATTTGATTGTTAAAAAACTAAAAAAATTTAGAATAAGGCTATTCAGATCATTTTCTTATAAAAAGATTTTTTCAAGCCATGTTTTCAAGCAAGTTTAAATACTTTATCTGTATTAAAAGTATATAATGATCCAGCCTATAAGTATAAATACTGTGCATTAAACTGGGCTTATTAGTGTAAAAAGTGTATAATGAACCCAGCATACAAAGAAACCAGCTATAAGTATAAAAAGTGTATAATGAACCCCGCTATAAGTATAGAAAGTGTATGATGAACCCAGCTTTAAGTAAAAAAAGTGTATAATGAACCTGGCTATAAGTATAAAAAGTGTATAATGAACCCAGGTGTAAGTATGAAAAGTGTATGATGAACCCGGCTATAAGTATGAAAAGTGTATGATGAACCTAGCTTTAAGTATAAAAAGTGTATAATGAACCCGGCTATAAGTATAAAAAGTGTATAATGAACCTGGCTGTAAGTATAAAAAGTGTATAATGAACCCGGCTATAAGTATATAAAGTGTATGATGAACCCGGCAATAAGTATAAAAAGTGTATAATGAACCCTGGTATAAGTATAAAAAGTGTATAATGAACCCGGGTATAAGTATAAAAATGTATGATGAACCCGGGTACAAGTATGAATAGTGTATGATGAACCCGGCTATAAGTATGAAAAGTGTATGATGAACCCGGCTATAAGTATAAAAAGTAAATGATGAACCCGGCAATAAGTATAAAAAGTGTATAATGAACCCTGGTATAAGTATAACAAGTGTATAATGAACCCGGGTATAAGTATAAAAATGTATGATGAACCCGGGTACAAGTATGAATAGTGTATGATGAACCCGGCTATAAGTATGAAAAGTGTATGATGAACCCGGCTATAAGTATAAAAAGTAAATGATGAACCCGGCAATAAGTATAAAAAGTGTATAATGAACCCTGGTATAAGTATAACAAGTGTATAATGAACCCGGGTATAAGTATAAAAATGTATGATGAACCCGGGTACAAGTATGAATAGTGTATGATGAACCCGGCTATAAGTATGAAAAGTGTATGATGAACCCGGCTATAAGTATAAAAAGTAAATGATGAACCCGGCTATAAGTATAAAAAGTGTATGATGAACCCGGGTAAAAGTATAAAAAGTTATAATGAAGCCGGGTATAAGTATAAAAAGTGTATGATGAACCCGGGTAAAAGTATAAAAAGTTATAATAAAGCCGGGTATAAGTATAAAAAGTGTACAATGAACCCGGCTATAAGTATAAAAAGTGTATAATGAACCCGGCTATAAGTATAAAAGTGTATGATGAACCCTGCTATAAGTATAAAAAGTGTATGATGAACCCGGCTATAGGTATAAAAAGTGTATGAAGAATCCGGCTATAAGTATAAAAAGTGTAGGGCTGCCTGCTGGGTAACAAATTATAACCTTCCCCTGCAGAGAAAATAACTCAGTACTTTAATATTATAACAAATAATCATGTTTTCAGAATTCAGAATATTTTGGAAAACTTTCTCAATCCAATCGTTCTGTTTGTTTCGTAAAAAAAATTTTGCGAAATGATAAAAACGTTTTTTTTTTTTTTTTACCATATTCTTATCTTTGGGTCCTCCCCCCCCCCTTTTCCTCTGGGTCTGTATTCCCTAAACAAATCTATTATTTGATAGAAATGAATTATATTTATAAATCTTATGCCCAGATCTCTCAGGAGACAGCTGTGTAACTAAATCCGGGACAGGGGTTCCAAAAAATTATGGATATGTCCTTGTTTTACAACTTGAAAACAGATGAGTTGTAAGTGACTTTTTGCAGCAGGGACAAAGAGGAAAAATTACATAATTGAGATTAAGTTTAAACGGGTAAAATTGTGAATTCCGCAAGTAACTACTGCGCCATTAACGATTTCTTAAGTATCAAAAAGTCTCCGTTAACACTGTTAATAAAATTTTAAACGTTAACTAACGGTAATTTTAAAAAACGGTAAATGCTGTTGACGAACGGACGTGCTTTCTTAACTTTGAAATTATCAGAAGCTTGAAATTTCACTTTTTTAACGGTTGGAACTAATTGTAATGTTTAACGGTTGGAACTAATTGTAATGTTTAACGGTTGGAACTAACTGTAATGTTTAACGGTTGGAAACAACTGTAATGTTTAACGGTTTGAACTAACTGTAATGTTTAACGGTTGGAAATAACTGTAATGTTTAACGGTTGGGACTAACTGCAATGCTTAACGGTTGGAACTAACTGTAATGTTTAACGGTTGGAACTAACTGTAATGTTTAACGGTTGGAACTAACTGTAATGTTTAAAGGTTGGAACTAACTATAATGTTTAACGGTTGGAACTAACTGTAATGTTTAAAGGTTGGAACTAACTGTAATGTTTAACGGTTGGAACTAACTGTAAATGGAACGGCAAGAAAAAGTTGGAACGTGACCAGCCCTAGCTGTAAAACGTAGTAAAAAAAAGTCGGCTGTTATGCTTATTTTCACGCTTTTATCTGGTTGTCCAAAAATACATTTTTTTATATTTTCGGGACCATTGTTGAAAGTTTATTCTTTTCTAGTGTTGATCTTAATTTGGATAATGTCAAAAAGTTTTATTATTTAGATAAGAACGGTTTAACATTAACAAAACAAATTCTAGCTACGGACCAGAAAAATATTGAAATTTATAAACATATATATACCCCCCCCCGCATCTTCTATAAAAGGTTTATTACCCGGGTTGAAAGGATTTTTATGAACCGCTTGATAAATGAAATATTATTATGTCCAAGCTATAGAAGGTTTTATACAGGGTGTCACATTATTTACAACACTTGGATCGAAATTCAATCAAAAGTAAAAACGCCATACAGGGTGTCAAATTTTCATCTTTTGGGGATTTACATTTTTATTAATTAACAAATTTGAATCACCTTTCATCAACATAAACAATCGACATTTTTTCCAAAGAAAATCAAATTTTAAATTTTGGATTGAATAAACATGTTTGTGGATCCCGCTATATTTTTGTAAAAATTCTTGAAATTTGTCTGATTTTAAATGTTGAGTTTGGAATTGTTGGACGGTTGCGGGTATAATTTATCCTGGGAGTGTTAAACCTTCACCAGATATTTTATACTCTGTCAGTTCAGTGAATTTATGATTTTACTAAATTTATTCATGCACTCTTCACGCTGATTTAGATGACCTATATTGTGATCTAAAAATTGCACACATCTAACATGGCAATCGATCAGCATTTTTACAAATATTTGTTCAATTTAACCTGTCATGGCATCTTAAATAAAGCTTTAAAATATTTGTAGCCATAACTTGAACAAATTTTGGTTTCGTAAGGTAAAATCAGGAGGGATGATAGTTCTCTACCCGTGTGCTCAGTTAGCTGTACTGTACACTTACAGCTGTTTACTAATATTGATATTCTATAGGTTAGGCCAGAATCAACTTATCATAAACAAATATGCAGTACGCTCTCGGTATAGTTAATTGCCTATAAAATTAGTAAAGGATTTTAGCGTACATCACCTCTCTATACACTATAACCTCGTTGGGTGCAACAAGGTTGACGCGGTCAGACTTTATGCTTCATAAAGGTTGAATTTACTTTTACTAAAGAGGCAGCGGTGCGTGTGAACTTTAAACACAATTTTCAATCATTACAGGAGAAAATTTCAATTATTATAAGCATTAAAATTTAAAAACAATTTTTATTTTTCCGCATGATTTTTAAAGCATGTTCTTGCTTTATATTACATTAAACAGATCCTATTTTTACATTGTAAACTGTATGCACATGCACGTTGTAGATCTTAATTATTCTCTATGATAATAAAAATTCTTTTTATCATATTCGTCATTTTCCTGCTTTTCAGATTGCCTCATGTTCATGTATCTATTTTATTACAAAAAATAACTTTGATTATTTAATAACATCTCATTTTGAAACATTTTTAAAGCATTCAATTAGGAGAAGACAACATTTATTATTTTTTCAGAACCGTTTAATTTTTTCTATTTTCCTCTAAATGTTTTTTTAGAATATGTACAGTGTACACTGTACAGAAGTGTAGTGCACGTTATAAACTTGTTTACTCTAGAGAAAACAGCGTACATGCTGGTATGTACAATATATATTCTGGTGGGCATGGCCTTCACCACGACAATTATAGAGTTAGTCAGGTAAAAAAGTCATGTAAAAACGACAGGAACAGGACAGGAACAGGATTGGAACAAGACAGGAACAGGATTGGAACAAGACAGGAACAGGACAGGAACAGGACATGAACAGGACAGGAACAAGACAGGAACAGGACTGGAACAGGACAGGAACAAGACTGGAACAAGACAGGAACAGGACAGGAACAGGACAGGAACAGGACTGGAACAAGACAGGAAAGGACTGGAACAAGACAGGAACAGGACAGGAACAGGACTGGAACAGGACAGGAACAGGACAGGAACAGGACAGGAAGATAAAGAATAAACTGTATGCAGGAGACAGTATGTTGAGAGCTGGAGGAAAATGCAGGAATTGAGAGCACAGATTCAAGCACAGCTTAAACTAGCAGACACTCTTCGTAAACTAGGAGAACATGCTGGTAAGTGCAAAGTAAATACCTTCCTACCTACCTACGTACATCCTAATCTACCTACGTACCTAGTACCTACTTATCTTTCTGCCTTCCTACCAAATTACCTACTTACCTAACTACCTACCTACCTAACTACCTGCCTACCTCCCTACCTAACCTACCTACCTACCTACCTACCTACCTAACAACCTAACCTACCTACCAATCTAGATAAGAATAATCTTGAGCTGGATGTGGATATAGCCGGGGACCTAGCTGCCTTGAAAGATAACCTGGCTAAGTTTAAAAAGGGAAAGATGAAAGGATTGGAGGATATTGATATAAATGAACTAGATTGGGTAAGTTTTCTAAATACAGGGTGTTCCACTAAACATTGCAATTTAGCGACGATTTAAATTTCGATGTTTATCTTTGATATATATCCTGTTGTTTAGCATTTGCTGTCTGTGATTGAAAAGGTTGAAAATACAGGGATAGAGAAATTTAAATCAAAATAAGTAAAATAGCTTCTATTTATTTTGGACTGTTACAATAAGAAAACATTTTTAGATTAAAAGATAAATACTTTTCCTGTGGGCAAGTGGAAAGTAAAACAATTTATTATATCTTTGTATTTTTTCTTCAAATTATCTTAAATTATTCTCCCCAAGAAATGTTTCTTAAATTAGATGAAAATGTGGAGAGCAGCACAGACCTGCTGAGAAAAACAATACAAGAAAATGTGAAACAATTTTGCTTTTATTAAATGTATAGATTTTCGGTTTAAAGAATGAAAATATTTTACTAAACATAGCTAAATATAACTGTGATTGCCGGTCTATCTGTTCTGTTTTTGTTACCGATAAACGTCAAAACGGCTGAACCGATCGACGGGCCAAAATATGTGTGTGGCAACTCACATGACCCCAGGGTCAGGGAAGGTTTATGGTCAAAATGTAAAATTGTGTCAAATCTTTGTAAACACACCCCGTGCACAGGCCTGTGCACAATCGTTAAAGGTTGGTGAGAATAACAGAACGGATAAACTTTTACGGAATCCGTTCGTTCCGATCAGTTATAATGTTTTTTCTTGTTATTTCTTTAAGTTGCCGTTCGTTAACGATCTCAAAAATATTATTTCAAGTATTACTTAACGTAAAAATATGACTTCATTTAAAGCATCAAGCACGCAATATTCTATTTTTGATTTTATTCTAAGTTTCAAGCAATACAAAATAACGCAAGCCTTCCTTATTATTTCATTCCTCCATTTATTTGTTCATGAATGGCCTATTTTTGTTCGTTAAAAATTTCAAAATTATCGGTTTTTGATGTTCATTCACAGAATCTTCTGTTAATTTTCAAAAATCTGCGTTCGTCAAAACAGAACGTTGCCACTAGTGCAGTGCTGCTCAGTCTGTGATATTTTATTATATTTCTCTCAGAAAAGTTAGTTCACTTTTATGCTGATTTATGCAGAAAAATAAAGATATCCCGTTGCCTTTATTTATATTATTATTAAATCAAAAATAGATTTTATAAACTTTTCTTTAAAATATCCAAAATTCAAAACAGAAAAATTTGAGAAAGTGTAAGTTGTTTTGTATTTTTAATGCATAAAGCTAAACATTTCTGCGTTTAGTACATGAATAAGTAGTACATGAATAACAAGTACATGAATAACTAGTACATGAATAACTAGTATATGAATAAGTATTACATGAATAACTAGTACATGAATAAAAAGTACATGAATAACTAGTACATGAATAAATAGTACATGAATAACTAGAACATGAATAACTAGTACATGAATAACTAGTACATGAATAACTAG